AAAAAAAAAAAAAAAAAAGTAGTAGATGTACAGGCAGGGCAACGCTGGGAAAGCACCTGGCTCCTGGGCCCACAGCGCTGCCCTCTCAGTTTCACCTCTCCCCCAACACTGTGGAGTTGAGGTGAGGCCATTCTGCACACTAGAACAACGAGGATCAGAAAGGTTAAGCCAAGTTACCCACAGGGCATAAGGTGTCAAGGAGAGTTGGGATTCTGTCACGAGCCTTCAATATCACCTGTGTGGGGGACAACAAGAGCCATCCCAGGACACCTTCTCTCAGAAGGAGCACTTCAGACAAGTCTAGCAAAATTTAAGGTGTCTGAAGAGCAAGCAGCTCCAACTTTGGGGGGCTCTAGCATGATTTTAAACACTGGCTTTCACGTGAAGTTCAAAACCTTCCATGTAACAGCAAACAAGTCAGAGATGATGACCACCAAGACAGCCAGCCTCCACTCCCAGGAGCCCTACCTGCTACCAGTCACGCCCCACGTGCTCTGGGCCCACCCTGAGTAGGGCCAATCTGCCTGCCTGACAGGACGTTCTAACAGCAGTTCTGAAGCTGGGTGCTAGACAATGTGGTCTTCCTTGCTCTGAGAAAACCATGTGTCCCCGCTATGTGGACGTTCAACAAGCCTGCAGAGAGGTCCACATGGCCAAAACCAGGGCCAGCTGCCAACAGCCACAGGACCGAGTGCGCCATATTGGAAGCAGGTCCTCCACGTCATCCAACCGCACACCTCTCTGACACCTGGCTTGCAGCTTCAGGAGTGACTCGTGGCCAAGAGGCACCCAATTATATACCATCCTTAAAATCCTGATACATAGGATTTAAGCCACTAAGCTAACTACTTGTAATTAGCTGCCAACAACAGATAACTATGACAACTACACTATTACAACATGAGGAAAAACAGTGCTTTGAATAATTTTTAAAAAGTACAGTTATCCCCTGGCTCCCTTTGTCCATCTGCGTTGGATAAACTAACTGGTCCCTTTGACAGCCTCAGTGAGCTGTCCTCCCAGCTCTGTCTTTCTCTGCTGCAGTTCTGCCATGCGCTCCTCGTCCATCTTCTGACTTGGAGCAAAATGATACCTTTTTGTATCTTTCTATGACCTAGTTCCAGCAAAATGCCCAGGTACAATCCATACCCTGGCTCGTAATACAAATAAACTTTCTGCACTGGTGAAAAGTTGGAGCTGCCCATCAGAGGCCAGGAGCCCACAGCCCCCCAACTGTCTGCCCGTCTGGGGGTTCCATCAAGAGCTGGAAGAGATGCTTGGCCTCCTCTCCACACGCAGAGCACCCTCTTTTCTCCAGGCCTCCCCCCAGTCCTCTGTCATGTACCCAGCACACCCCTGCTGGACCTTGTCCGATCTTCTGTGTGAAAGCTGTTTTCTGGTCCCGAGGGCAGGACACAGCTCTGCAGGTGCCACGCAAGGATCCAACTCGCTCTTGCCAAGTTAGCACCTTTCATCCTGAGCTTTCTTCCCCCAGCATGGGGCTCCACACAGCCCCTTCCTCACAGAGCTCTGAGATCGGATGAGAAAAAGGACTGTCTAGAACTTAGCACGGTGCCTGGCAATTCTCAGTGCTCGCCCTCATGTTATTGCTAAAATAACAGCAATAGTGGCAAGCTACTTACTGCGGGATTACAACATGCTTTGCATGCTTTACGTTATTCCCACTTTAATCCTGGGAGGCAGGGCCTCTTGGTAGGTCCACACAGAAATGCGGAGTATGAGGCCCAGACAGGTGAAGTGCCTTGCCCAGGAAAACACAGCCTTAGGTAACCGGGTCCCAGCACCCTCATCCCTAACTCCTTTGCTTTCCCACAAGGACTGGAACAAGGGACCTCGGAACTCTTGGGAAACTGCAGGGAGTAAGGAGGATGGTGTGGGGACATGCACAAGGAGTTTCCCCCACAGGACAGAGACAGCAGGGTGTGGAAGTCCCCTGGGAGTACTGTCCGAAGTGTCTTGTCTGGCTGAGGCCTAGGCCCCTGCACTTGCGCAGCCACTGCCGTTCCAGAGCAGCACAGACACGCAGCCCAGGCCTGGGCCCCGGCTGGGAACCGTAGGGCCTTCTGATGCCTCCACCTGACTTTCCTGAGCACAGTACCTGCTCTGGCTTCATACCTCTTGCTCAATAAATTCAGGTTCTGCCTGAGGGAAAGCCAGAATGCTTTATTTGCAAAAATGAAGTAGTGCAAGCTGTAAGAGCACACAATGGGACCAGGCCGGGCCCCACGCTGAGCTGTGTTCCCACTGAGCCAGAAGAGCAAACACAGCAGCCTCTACAGCTCCGCTCTGGGCCACCCAGGGTTTGCTGGCTCTGGTGCTTCTTCCTGCACTGACCTCAGGGAGCCCTGGGATTGAATGAGGGCAAGAGCTGCAGAAACATCCACATCGCAGCTAGCGGGGGCCAAGGCAGGGTTTTCTGTAGCGGTGGAGCTGCCAGGCAAATAAGCCCTGTGGAGAAACCCTTTGTCTGCCTGTGGCAGAGACAAGGGGCTACTAACTACATGGAAGTGGAGGACTGCTGAGAAAGAGGAGGGACAAGCAAAGCCACTGTACAGGGTGGGGCTAATGCGACTGACTCCTTTCATGCCCGGTGGCTGAGAGGTTCTAGCTCAGTGGTTCTCCATTGGCCATCACTTTGTCCCTAGGCCGTATGTGGAAAGGTCGAAGACATCTATCCCTGTTCTGGTATCTGAGAAGGAGCCGCTGTTGATACCCAGAGGCTAAAGTCCAGGGATGCTGCTAAACATCCTACAGCACACAGTACAACCCATGACACTGTCACCTGACCCAAATGTCAATGGGTGATAGGGACTGGAACTCCAGGACTCTAAGCTTCTCTTACCAGCTGTGTGACAGGGACAGACTCTTAGCTCCCATCTCCCCTCTGTCAATAAGGAGCAGTTTCTACCTCCTGCAGCTGACCCAATGCTTCTTGGAAGCAGGTGCACAGCAGTGCTCCATCAGTGTTGCCATGGTGAATTCCCAAGAACAGGTGCTCTACAAAAGGCAGACAAGATGAATCATGAAAGACTCAGAAGAGAGCACAGGAGACCGGGGGAGGCCTGATGACCCACGCAGGCATCCAAGGCCTTTTCTGCTCTTGCTCCAGCTGCACTCCTGGCTCTGCACAGGGCTCCAGGGGTCTCTTGGTGGGCTGGCACACTGGGCTTTTCCTACCACAATACACCCTTCAGGGACCCCCAAGAGGTGGCCTCAGACGCCCCAGCCCTTCAGAAGCGGGACAGCCCTTGGGGTACCTCAAGGCACACACACACACAGGGCTGGGGCTGGAGCCCTGTGCTAACACACCTGCTCAGCATGCACCAGGTCCGGAGCTTGATTGCCAGCACTGAAAACAAAGGATGAAATACACAATCCTATTCATCCAGACTCTGCATAACACGTTTGTTTTCCTTCAGACAAGACACACCAGTCAAAATATATTGCAGGACTGGTCACAGATAAATTCTCATTCACACATACACGAACAGAATGCAGTCTCACAAAGGCACACGTCCTCTCTCTGTCTCTCTCTCACACACACACGGACACACTCCCAAAGTGCTGAAATAGTGGGCATCCAAGGATATGCTGTCATACCGTATACCCACAAACCCACTTAAGTACAAACTCAGGAGTGTCCACAGGGCTCACACACAACATTTAGACACATACGTGTGCTTGTGCACTGAAGCATCTTCCCAATACACGAGATCGTACACAGCTACGAATGCACTTTATTATTCAAGGATAGAGGTGTGCATTATTCAGTAACACAAACACTCCTATAAATCCTTCCAGACACACATAAAAACACATACGCGAAAAGACATCTTAAACAGGCCTTCTATTGCCTTATATACACCGCCACGCTCCCGTCGCACATTTCATTCATTTATCACTTATATTACAAAATTTGCGAAGCAGCGTTCCGGGTGGCACCGTCCAAATTCATCCTGGTCCTATAGCCACTCGTGTGGATTCACAAAATGCACATAGAAGGCTCGTTTCTCCCTTACGTGTCCCTCCGTAGAGCGCGGCGCGGACTCACTCTCCTAGGGGACCCGGAACCGGGCGCCCGGGTAGCTGCGGGATTCGCGCTCCCGGGGGCCCGGCACCAAGCACCGCCCACGAGCGGGGGGGGGGGCCTCGGGCTGCTTGCGCCTGCGCACGCGCGCACTAAGCCCGGGGGGCGGGGGCGGAAGCCGGTGCATCGCCCTTTTCCCCTCGGTCCTCCCTCGCCGTGGTTTTCTCGCTGCTGCCTGGGCTCGGCCAACCTCAGTCCGCCTGCTGCGAGGGCCTGGGCGCGCCCGGAGCAGCCTTCCCGGCGCCCCGCGCCTGAGTCATCGTGCGGCGGTGTGCGACTCGGCGGCCTGGCCGAGACCTCGCAGGGGTGTGGCCGGGGGAGCCGGGGT